GAGAATACGGATTTCACTTGGGTTTTGAATTAGCTATATATATATCTCGGTTTTGAATGCATTTCGATGATGGTGCACCTGTTACCGTTATCATAAGTAGACATATTTCTCTCTCTCTCTCTCTCTCTCTCTCTGTTTTTTGGTTCTCCTTTTGTTTTTTAGAAACTAGTTTGTTTGATTTTGTTGCCTAAGCCTTGAGTATTGGAACGATGTCTTGGAACACGTGTTTGCCTAGCTGAGCGATTAAATTTTTTTTTCCCGAAATTGCCCTTCTTCTCATCTCTTTCTAATAGCTGTTTGGTTATGAGATGGGTCCCACGACTGCCACATCAACATTTAATGTCTGACTTTGACTGTTAATGTAACGTCTAGTGTAAATTGATAACACTTTGAAATGTGTCGAGTATGAAATTGATGAAATTGAAACCTTGGGGCTTCGACACTAACACTAAACCTCCAGGGACTAAAGTGTAAGAAAAAAAAAAAAAAAAAAAAAAACCCCAAACCTCATCCTCTCTTCATCCCCCTTCTCCTCCCACCTCTCCCCCCCCCCCCCCCCCCCCCCCTAACCCAGCCACCCAAACCTCCTCCCTGAAGAATGGCTCCACCATCTGCTGCTCCTTCAATCTCATCCAACTCGGAGGCTGAGGACGACGACGTATCCCACTCTTCTAATTGGCACTCACAGTGTGCTCGACCTTGATGCGATGCTTACAATCAAAACTGCAAAAACTATAAAAAGCCCATAAATATATTTTCGTAGGAAGAAATTAGAAAACCTGTCAAAGCCTTGCCTTACTGCATATAGATTTTGATAGGTAAAGAAACAGCCACATATATTCTTCAAATTTCATTCAGTTTTTCCACCCCTACCTTTCCCCAACCACAACCTCCTTCCAACTTCTTGTTTACAAACTTTCTCTCTCCCTCTTTCCCTCTCAAGTTCTCAACTCAACAATACCCAAGTGTTGGAATTCCAGTCACAGTTCTTGGAGAATGGTAAAGCTGTTCTCTTTCTCTAGAAAGTATTAAATTTCGGATTTGGGGTTCCATTTGTTTGTGTGTGTTTTTTTTTCTGTTGGGAGCAATAATATTATTGTTACTTCTGGAATTCCAGTATTGAGTAGCTTGAATTGTGCTTCATGTTATACTAATTGACATACAAGTTCACATTTTTTGTGGAACTTTAGAGAGTTTAGGATGATAGCTTAGAATATATAGATGGGTGGTTGTCCTCGGCCTCCGAGTTGGATGAGCTCAAAGGAGTAGTAGATGGCGGAGCTGCACTTTGGAGAGGAGGTGTGGGTGGTTGGATTCATCATAGAGGGAGGGGGGATGGGGTGGGAGAGCCAGGAGGAGAAGAGGGACGAAGAGAAAGGGAGGGACAAAGAGAGGAAGGTTTTTTTTTGTTTTTTTATTTTTTTAAATAAATATTTTTAAATATTATTTTATTATATTATATAATTGATTTATTAATTTTTTTTAAGGAATTCATGGGTCCAGCAGTGGACACATCATCAATTTACATTTGACCAAACGGTCAACTTAACAAAAGGCTTAAATTGGTCAGATTTGAAAATCATCGAGTTTAAATTGATGAAATTGAAACTCGGGGGCCCATATTGAGAATGACCCCAAACCTTTAGGGAGTCATTTGATGTTAGCTCTTTTAAAAATTAATAAAAAAAACTGTATTTGTTTATATAAAAAATTGGGTAAATTTCACTTTACTACCCTCAAGTTTCACGAGATTTAGAGTTTGCTACATGAATTTTTTTTTTCGTGTCAATTTCATACCTAATGTTTAGTTTATCCATCACTTTCATACATCCATCAATTTTTTGGTTAAGACTTCCGTTAAATGCTAACATGGAAATTAAGATCACACTCAAATTTTGCCACAAGGAGAAATAATAAATAAACTAATTAAAATTAAAAATATTTAAAATTAAAAAGAAAAGTCTCACTCACTCCTCTCTTCCCCAGTATTTGTCGACAACCACCAACACCAACCCCCTACACCCTCATCCCCATCCCCAGCCACCTGTTGGTTTTTGCAAGGCATTGTAAACATGTTTGAGTTAAAATTAGTCTCACATTGAAATAGAATACTGTTCATTTATAAGACCTACTCTTAGAAATAGAATAGTTAGGATTGGGCTATGCAAGTGGCCCAATTGAGTGGCTTGTGGGTTTGGCCTTTTGGTTAATGCCTAATTAGTTGGGTCAATTGTTAATTAATATATATATATATATATATAATATTTAATTAGTCAAAAGATGGGCTCTGTAATTTAAAATTAAACCCAATTAATTAAATTAATTACGAGTTAATTATTTAATTTATTATTTGAATTATTTTTTAAAATTCGAATATCAGATAAGTTTGTCTAATTGGGTTTTACCGTTATATGATACCTATTCCAACAGGTGTCAGCCCTCTATATGAATAGGAGCCCTGGTTCTGTTTGAAAAAAATAAAAAATGCAGATAAACAGAAATCATCATTCCTGTAGCCTAAGAGATAAACGTACAGAATTCGCCATAAATCAAAGCCCGAGTGCTACGACTGCAGAACTACAAGCACTGAGTAGGGGCGAAATTCTGTTTCAAGGACATTGCAATTTGCAAGACTCTATATGAAAAACCAGTAAGTTTTTATTTTACTATCTTATTTCATTTCGTGATTTTGTTTAATGTTTAATTTAATTGTTGAATGAAATTATTAGTGTAATACTGATTGTTGTATCACCAACACCACCACCTCCATCCCAACCTCCCTCACCCTCATCCCGGGAAACCTGTATCTCATTTCTGCCATATATTTGGATGGGCCTCTGATTTAAAAAACAACCTACATCTGCATGATCACTTCAATGCCTTGTTGCTTAATCATATTTGGGTATTTATGATCCGGAGCCAAGTCCACATCGGAGTCAATCATTTAAGCCTAACACGTGAACACCACATATTAGGTAAGGAGTAGGGGTAAACATTCAAGCCCAACATGTGAACACCACATATTGGTTGTAAAGGCCCAATTTAGGCCCAGTCAATCAACCCGCTCTAATACCATGTTAAATTCAGAGAGACGGGTCAATGGCCTACTACTAATAACACCAATATTGTCTCTAACTTAACCACCTACAAAGTCCAGTAGGTGCGGAATTTTATCACAAAAGGCCTCAGTGATATTAGTAGTGGAACTATGCATTAAATATTGTATTTCCTTAGTCAAGTTTCCCATGTGGGACTTGTATTTTTTAACAGAGGAGACGGCGGATGAGTAAATATGGGAGAGGAGATCTAGAGTGAGGGCTAGGTGGCGGCTGGGTAGGTTGCTATAGGGTAGATGGGGGCGTTTGGGTGGGTAGACTAGGATGGGTTGGGTGCCATGATCAATTTTGTGGCAGACAGATGAGAGCATTTTGCCTTCTCTTTGGTCAGAGATGAAAGTGTATGGAGAGGGAAGGTGAGAGCGCAGATGGTGGGGTTGAGGAGGGGTTTGTGGTGAGGGAGGTTGCCATCCAAATATATAGCAGTGAGGAGAGAGAGGTTTTCTGGGGATGAGGATGAGAGAAGTTGGGATGGAGTGGTGGCTGGGGATGGGGGTGTAGGGGATTGGTGTTGTTTTCTATCGACAAACAGTGGGGAAGAGAGAAGAGTGAGTGAGATTTTTCTTTTTAATTTTAATTTTGTTTTAATTAGTTTATTGATTATTTCTCCTTGTGGCAAAATTTGAGTGTGATATTAATTGCCATGTCAGCGTTTAAAGGAAGTCTTAACAGAAAAATTGACGGATGTATGAAAGTGATGCATAAACTAAACGTTAGGTATGAAATTGACAACAAAAAAACCTTCATGTAGCAAACTCTAAATCTTGTGAAATTTGCGAGTAATAAAGTGAAAATTACTCTAAAACATTACTAATTTCAGTTTACAAATAAAAAAATCTTGATTTCTTTTAGAAAAAAAAAAAAAAAAAAAAAAAAAAAAAAAAAAAAAAAAAAAAAAAAAAATAGAAAACCCATGCACCACGCACCACCACCCAACCACCCGTGAGCTATCACAACCACCACCTCTCTATAATTCCGTTTACCAAATAAATTCTGGCCTTAATCACCGACCAGTTCCCAATCTTAAAATCGGGACTCAACAAAAACCCAACAACTTGACCCGACGGAACCCGCTTGCCTGCGAACTTAACAATGCTCTCTCCATATAACCAAGATGGAAGTAAGCTCCTCGACTATCCTCGAACTGACTCGGTGCCTAGTCAAGAAAAAACGCCAGCAAGTGCAACAACCACACCGCCTTCACCAGCCTTAAAAACTCCCTGTAAAACTCGCTCCTCGGATGCCCTCCATCTACGACATGTCGTCTCTACTCCAAGTCCCCAAACAACGAGAGAGAGAGAGAGAGAGGTGGTGGTTGGGTAGTGGCATGATAAGAGAAGAAGAGGGCTTAAAGGCTGCTTGGGTTTCCCACTTTTTGGTGTTGTTAATGTGGGAGCAGATATTTTCGTCTCCAATCACAACGCGCCACGTGGAAAAGAAGATTATCTCTTTTAATTAATTAATTGAACCAGTTTATCTGGCCAATTAATTAATTGGGATAAATATCTTAATTAACATGATATTATCTTTATTTAATAAGATAATATCATTAATCAAGATATTATCCTAATAAAGAGAAGATAATGTCATTATCTCAGATATTATCTCCATAAAAGAGATAATATCATTTAATTAAGATATTATCTCCATAAAAAGAGATAATATCATTAAATCAGATATTATCTCAGTTCGACTCGATCCCTACGAATTTGGGTAGAGAATAAACTCAGCATATTCTCTACGAATCCGTTCCTCATATTTTCCAATCCACCGAAGCCTTCCAAACAACCATGGTTGGAAGCAAGCGCACGAGGAGTAAAACCGCCGCGATGGCTCAATCCGTGACGGCCCCAAAGCCACTCCACCCACGATCCCGCGATCAACATGGTGGCACCACCACCTCTCGCCACCGTGCCACCTACCGGACCCGCGACCGAATCTAGCAACCTCCGTGGCACCGCCGCCGAACATGGTGGAACCTCCCATCAAGGTGGGCTTGTTACCACCACCGACTTAGGCCCGGTCTTGGAGCAACTTCAAGCGTTCCCTCCATTGCCTCCACGCTCGACACACGCTCTCGCGTACACCTCCAGTGAAACCCTAGCCCGTGTGCAATTGGGCTCCACACGCTTCTCTCCTCCCGATCCACAAAGTCAAGCAGATCTCAACCTGAGAGTTGACCAGCTAGCTTAGAGAGTGGACGACCAAAACGCTCTTATGAGGCAGCTCCTTAATCAAATAAGCGTGGCTCAAAATCTTGGCCTTGGACAACCAGGCGAAGTGAGAAGAATAGACAAACGCACCGGTGGGCAGCTCAACGGGCACCAAGCGGGTCGAGCAGGAACGAGCAGACAAGGGGATGCACAACCACGTGATCAGCTTGCCGACATGTCGCAAGCATCTGCAAGCCACACACAAAGCAACGTGCGAGAAAGGCTTGGCCCACGACTTGACGTCCGTGCTCGCCTGGGCCCGCAGGGGAATGTACTTCAATCGGCTCCCAGGGAGATCAAACTGACAATCGCCGCAATGAGGATCGTGAAGAAAGGCGCTCCGCTGCCCACTCGCAGAGAAATATTCACGAAAGGCTAGGCCCCCAGGGAGGTCAACCCGCTAACCCTCGCAATGAGGATCGTGAAGAGAGGCACTCCATTGCCCGCTCTCGGAGAACCAACTCTCGCCGTCAAGCTGCAGAAAATCCCTCGCAATTGCAGTCCACCAACACGCCTCCTAAGCAGCACGGACGAGAGGACCGACCCTTGCAGACCAACGAGGAGGTCAATCAGCGTCGCCCGAATCGCAAAAGTCGCCAACGTGATTGACCAGCACTGCGCGCGGAAGACGTTGAGAAGCTTGTGAATGACCGACTTCGAGACTTGAAGACTAGCGGGAACCTCGAGGATGCACTACGTAAGGAGATGGACCAGGCGATCTCTACTCCTTTCACCCCTGAAATCGAGCAGGCTGCTCCCTCGAAGCGATTCTCAACGCCTTCTTTTACTCATTTCAAGGGAGATTCCGATCCCGAGAGCCACCTAAAACACTTCAAAAGTGTCATGATCCTCCACAAGGCCGACGACTGGTTCCACACCCTGCCATCTGGGTCGATCAACAGTTTCAAGGAGCTTGCCTATGTCTTCACTAAAGAATACACTTCTTATCGGACAATCAAGAAGAACCCAGATCATCTGTTCAACCTACGCAAGAAGCCCGACGAATCCATTCGAGATTACATCAAGAGGTTCAAAGCAGAAAAGGCCAACATCGTAGGGTGCGACGACCGAATCGCATCATCTGCCTTCAAGAAAGGTCTTCCAGCAGAACACGAGTTATACCGCGAGCTGATTATCACTCCCAGCCAGACTTTAGCAGAGGTCTTCGCGACCGCAGAACGCTACGCGCTCTGGGATGACGATCGAATTGCCGCGAAGAAGTCCACTGAGCAGGGAGATCGGCAGACCAAGCGGGCGGGCCTAAGAAGCGATGGATTTAGCAACAAGAATAAGGACAAGCGCAGGTCACACCCACAAGAGGACACTAAGGCAGGGGAGAACTACACCAAGTTCACTATCCCTATACATCAAATCCTAGCCCAAGTGAAAAACAAACCTTGGGTAAAAAGACCGCCACCCTTGAAAGGAGATCCAGACAGGAGGGATACTAGCAAATACTGTGCCTTCCATGGGACGCATGGACACACTACAAACAACTGCTTCGCTTGGAAAGCACACCTCGAAGAACTCATGAGGGAAGGTCACTGCACGGAATTCATCGCTAAGCAGGCCATCCAACAGATAGAGGACCGCGACACCGCCAAGGAGCCGCCCCAAAAGGTCATAAGGATTAACACAATCCTAGCCGACTCCGAGGAATCTGGGTTGACCAGCAAGGAAAAAAAAAGGAAGATCAAACAAGCCACTATGATCTCCCAAGTCTCAACCGACATTCCGCTAGCAGAAGACGACCCTATCATCGGCTTCCAAAAGAAAGATCTAATTGGCCTTGATCTACCACACAATGACGCTCTTGTCATCAGCATTCAAATCGCTCAGGCCATGGTCGGCCGAATCCATGCAGACGAGGGCAGTGCAGCCAACATCCTACAATTGACAGTTATCCAACAGATGGGCTTAGAGGCAAAGATCAATAAATCAGCCAAGTCGCTGACTGGTTTCAATGGAGCAACAACGGTTACCGTAGGCATGATAGAGCTCGACGTCTACGCCCCACCTGTAATCAGCTCTCAAACGTTCATGGTCATTGATGAAGTCTCACCCTACAATGGCATTCTAGGCAGACCATGGATCAGCAAGATCAACGCCATCACCTCCGCCACGCATCAGAAGATTCGCTACCCAATTCCTTGGGGTGGGATCGGCCAAATCAACAGCGATCAGGCATTGGCGAGGAAATGCTCAGCTCAAGGGCTGAAGAAAGGCAAGCAAACACAGTTCCTCCCTGTGAATCAAGCAGATCTAAAAGGAGTAGAACAAGCAGATGAGAAAGCAGATCCCGTTCCTGACGACCGAGCAGGCCAAAAAGGAAAGGGAATAACTACTCCCCAATAGCAATCAAAGAATCAGGACCAAGTCGAGGGAATTCGTCCGGAGGTCTATCCTAAAGAAGGATGGAAGCCCGAGGAGGACGTTGAGCTAGTACCCCTTGATCCTGACAAGCCAGAGAGAACAGCGCGGATCGGCTCGCGCCTAAGCCAGGAGGAAAAGGCAGAGCTTGTAGCCTTCCTCCAGAACAACAAAGACGTATTTGCATGGTCACCATCTGACATGCCTGGCATCGATCCCCAGATCATCTGCCATCGCCTACACGTCAACCCAGCCATCAAGCCTGTAGCGCAGAAGAGACGCAACTTCGCCCCCGAGCGAGTCGCCATCATTGAAGCCGAGATCGACAAGCTTCTAGTTGCCGGTTTCATTGAAGAAGTCTCATACGCAGAATGGCTGGCGAACGTTGTTCTAGTAGCAAAGAAAGATAAAGGCCTGTGGAGAGTGTGCGTCGACTATACTGACCTCAACAAGGCATGTCCTAAAGATAACTTTCCACTGCCGAGAATTGACCAGCTCGTCGATTCAACTTCCGGCAATCAACTGCTAAGCTTCATGGACGCCTACTCCGGTTACAACCAGATCATGATGCATGAAGACGACAAGGCAAAGACCTCTTTCATCATCGAAAGAGGTATCTACTGCTACAAGGTCATGCCCTTTGGGCTAAAGAACGCCGGAGCAACCTACCAAAGGCTGGTAAATAAAATTTTCAAGGAGCAAATCGGCAAGACTATGGAGGTCTACGTAGACGACATGCTAGTCAAAGCTCCCAGCGAGCAGACCACATCGAGAATCTTGCCAAGGCATTCATCATACTCCGAAAATACAACATGAAGTTGAACCCGAGCAAATGCACATTTGGAGTCTCGTCCGGTCGATTCCTTGGATACTTAGTCACCCAAAGAGGAATTGAGGCACATCCAAATCAAATCAAGGCTATACTCAACATGAAGTCACCTGCCACAACAAAGGAGATACAAAGTCTAACGGGTAGGGCGGCAGCTCTCAACCGATTCCTCTCTAGATTTACCGACAAATGCAGGCCATTTTTCAAAGCCTTGAAGAAGGGACACAAAGATAAGTGGGATGACGAGTGTGAAGTAGCTTTTCAAAACTTGAAAACTTACCTCACTTCACCTCCATTGCTCTCAAAGCCGATACCAGGCGAAGATTTGTACATCTACCTAGCGGTGTCCGACTCAGCTGTCAGCTCAGCTCTCATCCGAGAAGAGCTGGGGGCACAACATCCGGTATTCTACACTTCAAAAGCTCTCCTCGATGCAGAGACTCGCTATCCGAAAATGGAGAAGCTCATTTTTTCGCTTGTGGTTTCTGCGAGAAAGTTAAGGCCCTACTATCAAGCACACCGGATAATTGTCATAACAGAATTTCCTTTGAGATCGATCCTTCACAGCCCCGACGCTTCTCAGCGACTCATGAAATGGGCTATCGAACTCAGTCAATACGACCTCCTCTACCGGCCGAAGACTGCTATAAAAGCCCAAGCTTTAGCAGATTTTGTTGTAGAGTTTACTCCGACAGCCGAAGAAGAGAAGATGGTTACGAAAAGCAAAGAAAAAGCGGACGACACCTCCCCCACCGATTCGAACCTACCTAACGACATGTGGCAGTTGCATGTAGACGGAGCATCAAATCACAAGGGAGCGGGAGCAGGAGTCGTCATAATCACCCCAGACGGAACCTTGTTGGAACAAGCTATCACACTAGCCTTTCTCTTCAAACAACGAGGCAGAATATGAGGCACTGCTTGCAGGACTACGCCTAGCGAAAGAACTGTCGATCAAGAGACTGGCCGTCTACTCAGACTCCCAACTGATCACGAATCAAGCCTCAGGCGAGTACATGGCAAAGCATCCAAGAATGGTTCAGTACCTCGACAAAGTCCAAGGACTTTTGAAAGAATTCCCTACTTTCACCATCCAACAAGTTCCACGGGCAGAGAACACTCATAAAGATGCGTTGGCGAGCCTAGGATCAGCACTGGACACCCACTTCAAACGCTCCATCCCAGTTGAACACCTTGACCGGCCAAGCATCGAAGAAATAGAGCCGATCGACTCAATGCAGATTGATGAGGACCCCAGCTGGCAAGACCCCATCATCGACTACTTAGTGAATGGAAACCTGCCAACGGATAAGTCCGAAGCTAGGAAGGTCCAGCAGAAGGCCGCGAGATACTATATGCACGGCAGCAAGCTTATCTGTAGATCATACTCCGGCCCCCATCTCACCTGCATAAAGTAAACACTTGAAGTCCTCTGTGAAATTCAAGATGGTGAGTGTGGCAACCACTCGGGGGGCAGGTCACTCGCCCAGAAAACTCTGAACGTAGGCTATTTCTGGCCTACCATGCGCCACGACTCCGCTGAATATGTCAAAAGATGTGATCGTTGCCAACGATACAAGCCGATCCCTAATCTGCCTGCCGAAGTTTACCATCCGCAAAACAGTCCATGGCCATTCATGCAATGGGCCATCGACTTAGTGGGTCCCTTGCCACCGGCGCCTGCCAAGAAAGAAATGATAATCGTCGCCACCGACTACTTTACTAAATGGATCGAGGCCGAAGCTCTATCCTCTACTAAAGAAGCCGATGTGGAGCGATTCATCTGGAGAAATATCATCTGCCGGTTCGGCTGCCCACAATCGTTGGTCACTGACAATGGCTCACAGTTCATTGGCAAGCAGATCACCGCCTTCTTTGCGAAATACAAGATCAAGCAACACCTGTCCACTCCAAGGTATCCACAAGGAAATGGGCAGGCTGAGGCATCCAACAAAGTCATATTAGACTGCTTGAAGAAAAGGCTAGAAGGCGCCGAAGGGAAATGGGTGGACGAACTCCCCGGAGTACTATGGGCTTATCGCACCACCAAACGAAGGTCGACTGGCGAAACCCCATTTTCCCTTGCCTATGGAACTGAAGCGATCATTCCTCCTCACGTCAATGTCCCCTCTATAGGCATTGAAGTCGGCAGTATAGAGCAGAACTCCGAGCAGATGAGACTCAACCTTGACTTACTTGAAGGCGAGCGCGAGAAGGCCATTGTCCGAGTCGCCTCCTATCAACAGCGGTTGAAGTCCTACTACGACAAAAGAGCCAAGATCAGACAGTTTCAACCTGGCGACCTTGTGCTAAGAAAAGCCTTCATCACTGCACAAAGACAAGGGTCTAAGAGAAATAAAACCCAATTGGGAAGGCCCTTATGTGATCAGCCGGTCCGGGGGCAGAGGAAGCTACACGCTGGACACCATGGATGGGAAGGAAATACCACTGCAATGGAATGCCTACCATCTCCGAAAGTATTATCCGTAATGCTTCATCCTGACTGCTAGAAGTTTCAAGTTTTTGTACTCAGTGATTTCCATTTTCGAATAAAGGACTGTAATATTATGAATATCAATATAAGTTCAGTTTCTCATTCCAAAATTTCTCATCTACCTACAAAACACAACTATTGTCCATAAGTAGTGTCCTTCGGGAGACGCAGGGCAACGACCAGAAGCGTCCTTCGGGAGACGCAGCCCATAAAAAGCGTCCCAAGGAAGACGTAGGGTGCGCCAGGAATTTCCTAAGAGAGGTATCCAGGTTCCTATCCATTCCCTAAGGGGGGCAGGATAGTCATATAGTTGCCCATAAGGAGCGTCCTAAGGGAGACGTAGGGTGACGACTAAAAGCGTCCGTTTGGAGACGCAGCCCACTAAAAAGGCGTCCTAAGGGAGACACAGGGTGCGCCAGGAATTTCTTAAAAGGAGGTCTCCATGCCTCCTGCGGGATGTATCCAGGTTCCTATCCGTTTTCTAAGGGAGGCAGGATAGTCATACAGTTGCCCATAAGCAGCGTCCTTCGGGAGACGCAGGGCAACGACCAGAAGCGTCCTTCGGGAGACGCAGCCCATAAAAAGCGTCCCAAGGGAGACGTAGGGTGCGCCAGGAATTTCCTAAGGGAGGTATCCAGGTTCCTATCTGTTCCCTAAGGGGGGCAGGATAGTCATATAGTTGCCCATAAGAAGCGTCCTAAGGGAGACGCAGGGTGACGACTAAAAGCGTCCGTTTGGAGACACAGCCCACTAAAAAAGCGTCCTAAGGGAGACACAGGGTGCGCCAGGAATTTCTTAAAAGGAGGTCTCCATGCCTCCTGCGGGAAGTATCCAGGTTCCTATCCGTTTCCTAAGGGAGGCAGGATAGTAATACAGTTGCCCATAAGCAGCGTCCTAAGGGAGGCGCAGGGCGACGACTAAAAGCCTCCGTTTGGAGACGCAGCCCACTAAAAAAGCGTCCTAAGGGAGACGTAGGGTGCGCCAGGAATTTCTTAAAAGGAGGTCTCCATGCCTCATGCGGGAAGTATCCAGGTTCCTATCCGTTTCCTAAGGGAGACAGGATAGTCACACAGTTGCCCATAAGTAGCGTCCTTCGGGAGACGCAGGGCGACGACCAAGCCATCCTAAGGGGAACCCTAGCACTCATGAATCTCCAAAGGGAGATATGCAATCAAGACACTAGCTGGTTACTCAAGCAGTTCACAAGACAATATGCAAATTAAAGTTGAAAAATAAAGACTGAAATTTTCATAGCAAAGCGACCAACCGTCCAAGTTCAAACAAAAAGAAGATGGTCAAACAAGACCAATTATTCTAAACAAAAGCAGACTACAAAAGTTGAAAAGAAATAAAGGAGTCTTCGTCTACTCCGAAGCGCCAACAGGAGATCCCTGATCTACAACCTCTTCAGCGTCCGCCTGATCAGCCACGCTTTCAGCAGCCCCACATGCCTGATCTATGACGTCTGCCACCACCTCATCGGCTGCATCCTCCTCTGCTCCATCCTCCTCAGCTACCGCCTCTTTAGTCGCCTGCTCTTCAGCTCCTTCGATGTTCACAGCATTAACCTCCTCACTTTTCGCAAGGGGCAAGTCTGGATAGAGCATCTCGATGTCTTCATCTCCAATGGCGTAGAAGGGATCATATCCTTCTGTGCAGTCCAGGTAGCCCAACTTCGGACTTGGATTCCTCAGCAGACTCATGGTAGGCGTGAAGTCCAGCTAAAAGCTTGTCATAGCTATGAGAGATGTCGGCATTCTTGCGCTCAAGGTGGAAATAAGCATCTTTTCAACTTGCCAAGTCAGCAGCAGAAGAGTTAAGCTCGGAATCCTTCTCAGCAAGGGAGCTCTTCAACTCAGATATCATCGCCCGCAAATCAGACGTCTTCTTCTCATAACGGGTCTGCTCGGCGGAAAGTTTGCTAACTAACTCAGCATTCTTCTTCTCCAACTCGCTGAGCTGAACAAAAGATGGGGCAACAGCAGACGAGTTCCGAATGGTCTCAACAGCAAAAACTATTCCCTTTTGAAGCAGATGAAGTGTCGATTCCTTTTGCTTTTCCAAGGAAAGACTTGAAAAAGTACCAAGATCGCCAGCCTGACGGATTTGGTCAACCAGCTCAGCACAAGAGGATGGACTTGAAAGAAATTGCGTCTTTAGCAGATCAGACACGCCTGCATCCCCTGCAGGGCTAGATTTGTCCACCTTTGGATCAGTCGCTGACGTTGCAAAAGAACCTTTTGTCCGGGCAGATGACTCTCTTGCTTTCCTAGCCTCCGCCAACCTCACTTCCAAAGGAATTTGCGACGTCGAATCAACTCCATGCTTGACTGCTCGTGACTCAACAGTTGGATCATGACGGTTGGATGGATGAGCAGACCTCTCACATCGACCTCCACTCTTCGATTGGTGCAAACGACCCGAACTTCGGGGAGGAACATCCGCATCTCTTTGTCTTTCAACAGGTGAGCAAGATCGCACACGGACCACTTCGCGGAGCAGATCATGATCTCCAAGCTCATCAGCAAGAGGCTTAAGGGGAGCATCCCTTATGTTGCGCATACCGCCTATCTTCTTGCTGTCTGCACCAACAAGATGCTTGACCCTAGTAGATGAGGCGGGAACAACTCCTACTGGGATCTTCTCAGCATAAGGGAGCTTTGGCTTCTTCCTCAATGGAGACACGTTCCTCACCTGTGAAGAGGTAGCTTGAGTTCTCGAAGACTTGACTTCAGTCTTCCTTTTTGATGGGGGTTCAGCAGAGCATGTCTCTTGTTCAGCAGACAGATCATCAGGGTCCAGACCATTCTGCTTCCATCTTTCGACATCCTCGGCTGGGGGCAGACCACCGTCCTCCTCCCGATACTAGCTCAACAGCCAACGCCACTCACGGAACTTTTGGGGGATGTTCAAAGCGCGGCGGACCTTAGGCCCCGTTTGGGATTGCTTTTTTTCACTAAAAACCAGCTTCACTTTAAAGTTAAGCAGTTTTAGGTGTTTGGTAAAAATAAAATATCTCGATTATTTTAAAAGCAGTGGCCTTTTGACAGCAGCTTTTAAAAGCAGGCTATGGGTTGCTTTTTAAAGCTGCTTTCAAAAGAAGCAGAGATGAATCTTTAATGAATTTTTTTAATTCCTAAAATACCATCATTCATTTAAAAAATAACACCACCTCCACTTCCACATCCAACTCCACCACATTCACTACCTCCATAACCACCGCCATCGCCATCGCCATTGCCATCGCCATCGCCACCGCCACCACCACCACCACCACCACCACCACCACCAACTCCACCTTCACCTCCACCTCCACCACAACCACCATCACCACCACCACAACCACCACCTCCTTCAAAACCTCCACAACCAACACCACCACCACCACCATGCTGCCACCTCCACCACCATGCTGTCACTACCACCACCTCCACAAGCGCCATCCCTACCACCACCACCTCCACTCCATCACTACCACTAATACCACATGATTAGTACATAACACTTTTAACATCATGTCTATTTTAGTCATTATTCACAGTTACAATAATTTTATATTAAAACTTACCAAACGGTTTTGACACTGCTTTTTGTACTAACAACACTTTAAAAATATTGTTTACCAAACACGGAGCTGCTTTACTTTACAGCTAATTATTTTCAAAGCACAGCATAAACAACTTTTTTTAAAAGTGACAGCAATCCCAAACGGAGCCTTAGCCATGTCAGGCTCAAGCTCCAATTTCTTGCTGATGTCGTCCGCTACAAGCAGAAGACAGAAGTTAGTCAGCTACGCTTCAAGAAATTCAAACAAAAAAAAAGCATATCAAGAACCTGGAAAAAGACGTACCGTTGCAATAGGTGATGGGAACAAGTGAACCATCACCAACATCGCCTTCCCACCGTCCGCTGACTTCCAACACATCATCATGCCACACGTGATCTCCTTGGCTAAGACTGTCAAACAGATTGACATTGCAGGTGCGAAGTTGTGCGTACTCCTCACTTCAAAAAATAGAAGAACTCTCGCACTGTTAGCTCCAACGTGAAAAAACGGCTTAGATTCTCGAAGCACATGATCGCCCGATAAACATTGGGAGTACACTGGCTCGGAGCACACCCCATGGCGGAAAACACCTCCTTGAAGAGCTTTGACAGTGGGAATTTGAAGCCCAAGGAGAAGTAAAAGGGACGGAAGGTGATGATTCTCGCATTTGGATCATTCGCATCCACGCAAGGCATGTAGTCAGTCAAAGGCTTCGCCAGCTTGATATGCACATCCTCAGGAATTGCAAAAGCATAAGCAGCCCGCCACCTCTGGAATTGATCTTCATTTGTAACGCGGCGCAGGTTGGCCACAAACCTCTTCTTGTACACCTCGGAACCTCCCCACAAATACAAAGGCACCTGAGAGCTTGAAGCCTTGCTACCGTCTCTGGAAGGCATGGTTAGTCAACGAACAACTGCAAGAAGATAAGAAAATTCCACAAGTTAGAAACCCAAAAAAAAAAAAAAAAACAAAACAAAAAAAAGAAAAGCTGGCAGCAAACAGAAAAGAAAAAAAAAGTAGCCCAGCATGAGCAGCCCGTCAGTCCTTCCAGCCCAGCGCACGCAGCCCAGCACGCATGCGGCCCGACTCCAGCCTGGCCCGGTTCTCCAGCTTCAGCACGCACGGCCTGCTTGCCCAGTGCAAGCCCACGACGCGCAAGGCCCAGCGCCTCTCCGCCTCTGCTCCAAATCCTAGCCCCTTTGTCTCTTTGAGCCCAGCGCATGTGCCAGCCCTGCATCACGCCAGCTCCAGCCCAGGCCAGGTAGCTCCAAGACCAGCATGCACCTCATGCTCCATTTGATTCCAGCACGAATTCTCCAGCTTTTGTCACCACATGCACGAACTTGCAACCCATGCTGGACCACCTCTTTGCTGCCAAAAATCAGAAAAAAAAATATACATGTGCATATATATTTTCACGAGCTCGACTTACTTTGGATGCACGACAATTCCCCTCTTCAACAAAGCAGTACAAATTCCCTAAGATCTTTCTCAAGCTAGAAGGTAGAGAAGTTAAGTTTGTGATGTGAGAAAGAGTGAAGAAAAGCCCTGTATTTATACAACTCCAACAACAGTCAAAAGCCTATGCCAATTGGAAATCTGATCTGCAAAGGAGTCCAACTCACATAATAAAGCCCAGACACAGTTGGAGAGCCCGAAAAAAAATGTATAAAAATAATTTCATCTCCTACATGCCACACAAGCGCCATGCAGAAGCTGGGGGGCATTTGTAGGAGCAGATATTTTCGTCTCCAATCACAACGCGCCACGTGGAAAAGAAGATTGTCTCTTTTAATTAATTAATTGAACCAATTTATCTGGACAATTAATTAATTGGGATAAATATCTTAATTAACATGATATTATCTTTATTTAATAAGATAATATCATTAATTAAGATATTATCCTAATAAAGAGAAGATAATGTCATTATCTCATATATTATCTCCATAAAAAGAGATAATATCATTTAATTAAGATATTATCTCCATAAAAAGAGATAATATCATTAAATCAGATATTATCTCAGTCCGACTCGATCCCTACGAATTTGGGTAGAGAATAAACTCAGCATATTCTCTACGAAACCCTAGCCCCGAGGCTCCTATAAATAGATGACTTCATTCATCATTCAAGGTACATCTAAACCTACTCCTTATACCCGAGAAAAATACCCGAAGCTCTTTCTCCCTCTCCACTCTCCATATTTTCTCCACACGGCTCCGGCCACCACACACGGCTCCGGCCGCCCGGTTCACACTCTACATAAACACTACCCTGTACCCTTTGCTTAGCTATTGTTTTTCTACAAACACTCGAACTAACTTAGGCATCGGAGGGCCTTTGGCCAACACCCCCCGGGTGTGGTCTATTTACTCCAATCTGTTTTACAAGAATCGTGGAAGAGAGAGAAGGAAGATCGAAGGTTGAAGGATCTAGAAGCGAATATTCTCCCGTGAGATTATTTGCACAAACAGTTAATTGTTCAAATAGGTAAAACACATGGACCATTTTGACATTTAAGTCTTAAACTAAATATTAAAAATTGGACACCAATTAATAGTGGCAATTTTCATAATTTTGATGTGATTTCAATGCATTATTGTAAAATTAGATTTTTTTATTGGTAAAAAAAAAGGGGTCAAACCCCAAAACAACAAAAGACTTAGCCAGAGGCTAAACTAACCCAACGAGTTCTAGGAACTCCTAATAAGTCATCAACTAATAAAGCACCAATCCAGCTTGGAGCTGCATCAAGCACACACAGCCCAAGATCAAGATCATGGCTCCATTTAGCCAAACAATCTGCCACATCATTCCTTTCCCTATAGATGTGGCTCAAAACACAAACACCAAACTGTCTCACCATCGCACAACAGCTAGCAATCAAGGAAGCTAGAGGGTGGGAGCCAAGCCTAGAATGCTGCTGGACTAGGAGTACAGCCATGGCAGCATCCATTTCCACAGTGAGCCTACGAATGCCTTTAGCAATTGCAAGTTGCATACCAAAAAACAAGCCCCAAACTTCAGCTTCTAGGATTTACCAAGGTTCACAGCAAAACCACAGATCCAATCCCCTAAAGAATTACAAATCACTCCTCCAGCACCAATAGAACCTGAAGCACACCTTCTAGACCCATCCACATTAAGCTTAAACTGTCCCAGTTCAAGCGGTTCCCAGGCCAGCAAAAGGGGAATTTTAGAAGCCTTTGTATCCCCAACCTGGCTACTCGTATACCACTCCTTTACAGCGGCAACAATAATCTTCTTAGGCTCATATCTGACCTCATCATCTATATTAAAAATATGATTAGTTCTCCACTTCCATAAGACCCAACAGGTAAAAACAAAAACTGGAGTCCAAGGCACATGATCGCCCCACATAGCTTTAGACAAAAGATTAGAGCGAGGCCAAGGATGGAACTCCATATGTAAGAAATGGGGATGAGCAACAGGACCAAGCATAGCATGCCAAACATTAGTAGCCTTCTCACAGTCCCTAAAAATGTGCAAGATGGATTCAACTGGCCAATTATAGTAATTACAGGCAGGATCATCAACCAAATGCCTCCGAGCCCTCTGTTCATTAGATAAGATTTTGCCTTGAAAAAAAGCCAAAGGAAAATTTGAAGCTTAGAGGGAATCTTCAATTTCCACAAGAACTTCCAGTCATACGAAGGCCACTCACTACCATGAAACAAGAGAGTATAAGGAGTTTTTACAGAGAGCATACCATTAGCAGTAGGCCCTCAAATTTGAGCATCAGGAATTGCACCGGTCACTCCCACAGGGATGCAAATAATTTGCTGAACCAACTCCTCATCCAAAACTGCCCTTAATTTTTCAATATCCCATCAATCCCCCTTTAGAAAACTGGAAACATTACAGGCTACATCCCCAACTTGCAGAACCCCATCTTGTTCAAGACGAGGTCTTCCATTCAGCCACCTATCCTGCCAAAATTTAATTGTCTCCTTTCCCAATCCTCCACAGCATACCCTTAGAGAGTAACTCCACCCCATGCAGAATACCCCTTCAAGTAGAGGAACAAACCTACTTTGGAAGCAGGGAAGGGTCCAAAATTGACGTACCTTTAAGGTATTTGGCCTCATAAATCCTGGCCCAAATACCCTCATCCTTGTTCTTAATTCTCCAACCAATTTTAGCAAGCAAGGCTTGATTCATAGCAAAAGACTTCTTAAAACCCAACTCTCCTTTACACTTAGGACGACAAACCAAATTCCACTGATATAGATGAACTTGGGTTCTTTTTTCACTGCGTCCCCAGAAAAAATTTCTATTCAACCTGTCTAGCTCATCACAAACACTTATAGGGAGTTTAGCATAGCATAAATAGGAATAGAAGAAGTCACATCTTGGATTAAAGTTGTGCGTCCTGCATAAGAAAGAAGTTTACCTTTCCAAGAAGCCAACCGACTGTGCACCCTATCCAGCAACTTCTTATATGTAGCATGAGTACCCCTTGCATGAAGAAGAGGCAGAAAAAATTAGATGTTTTTTTTAAAGTCATTGGACCTCATCTAAATTAGGTGAAATTGGGTTATTATCTACCACAATAGTAAATTCCCTAAGGAGTTTAAACCAAAGCTCCCTTGATTCTATAGGGTTAGGAATATGAGAAAAGAGGGAAGAGAGGAACTGAAAATAATTGATTGAAGAGAGCATAGGAAAACAGAGAAGAACATGATGGATTAAATAGAGAGTCTGTTCCATGGAGAAACTAGGAGAAGAACCAAAGGTCTTCTAAAAGGAGGAAAGCGTGCAATTTTTTCTACGATGAGGAACCGTGTTTTTTCTTTTTAATTCCAGGCATGTATTTTTTAATTATTTTTTGGGTTAGTTTGAGTTCCTGTTTAATTATTTAGTTGTGGGCCAACTTGTATTGATTTTATTTGGGCCCTTTTATTTTCAGACTCTTTACAGATGTATTATGGGCCTACCAAGTTATATATGATAAAATTTTGGGGCCCCATAAATTGGAGGCCCATGGCTATTGCTTTTGGATCCCAAGCTCAAGGCCGGCCCTGTTAAGAGATTTCAAGGAATTCCCGTCCCCGTCAAAGGGCTATCTCCCATCCTCGCCCTGAATCCCTTATTCTTTCATGCCAAAATAGAAGAGCTTCGAGGCTTAGCCCATTTGTTAAAAATAAAAAAAATAAAAAAAATAAAAAAATTGCAGGTATGATCTAAAAATCCATAATTTATCAAATCATATCAATTATACTTGTCCACATTGTTTTTAGGTTTATGAGCTTTTGTGGTATATTAAAATAAGTATTTTGTATTATCATAAAATGTGATGATAGATTTGGTATGAAAAGTTTATTTTGATTGACCCATTCCCGATCCTGACCCACCTCCCACCTCAAGAACGAACCTCATTCTTCTAATATCATCGTCAAGGGGGGCAAAAACAAAGGCAAGGCAATGGCAAAGATAATTGCAACGGCCACGACGACTGCAACGACAAAGGCAAAGGCAAGAATAAAGGAAAAAGCAAAGACACAAACAAAGGCAACATCAAAGACAAGGCTAAGAAGGGGCCGCCAGAGTCGACTACTGTGATACCATGTCAAACAAAGTATATGAGAATTTTCTTATATGTATTCTTCTCCAATATTAAGGTATTTATAAAGATGAACAAAATGGTAAACCCCTAAAAGGGTTAGAAATCCTAATTACAATAGAATTACACAAAAGTAAGTAATTACCAAAAAAAGGGAAAATAAAATTTATTCATGAAATATTCTAGTGAACACCACCCACCTCAAGAATGAACCTCATTCATCCAATATCAATTATCAAGAATCATAATAAATGATTTTATAAGCGCCTTGCCTAACTTTTGATTCTTCTAATGACATGTTTACTAACTTAGAATTGGAGAAAATATGAATCGGGATGAGCATGGGTCGCTACAAGGTGGTATTCCTTATTTTAGTAATATTGTAAACAAGGGCATAGTCATGATTGGAGAAATTATAGAATGGTACGGTATCACAACGTCACCTCGTGATACTCCCATTCAATTTTTGCTACATGTTATATTATTATAAAATAAAAATAAAAACTCTTTATACAGCTGGATTTAAAAATCTATTTTACATTTTCAACTTAAAAATAAAAGAACTTGAAAATGGAAAGGAAAAAGGAGCTGCCCTAATTAACAACCACATTTCTCGCGGACAATGCCCTCTACCGTCATTGCCTACCATGGATGTCGCTCATCTTTGTTTATTCCCATATTTCATATTTCTTCACCTCAATTTCTCAATACAACCTTAAACATGAAAAGGATGCCTGAGAATCTAGCAGACCTAATAATTACACCTCTGTCTCTCTCAATCTAGGATTCAACAAAAGATATTGAGTGTTTATACCAAAATGAACAGCCAATGAATATCGGACACGTGGACTAAACTAGGGCCATGGGTGCCTATGGCACCCACCTTCGGTACCATCCCTACCGATCGCAACATTAGGGCAACTTCACCCCCTTCGACACGTGGCAGTCCCACAACTGATGTCCACAGTCCCACATCGAAACTCTAAACAAATTGCACACCTCCCAAGGCCTATAAAAGAGGACAACCATCCCAGCTTGGAGGTAATCAATCAGAACTCACGGCACACTGCCTATTGATCTGTAGTTCGAACTTATTAAACCCGTACTTACTTAAGCATCAGAGAGCCTTCGACCGGTACCACACCGGTGCCCTAGGACTTACCGAGCGTTTACTATCTTACAGGTGTAACGCACTACCGAGGCCATAGCATACCGAAGGTAGAACAAATCACTAAGTTGCGCGGGAAAGTGCCGAACCATTTTTCTGCGTCAACAGTTTGGCGCCGTCTGTGGGAATCGATAACAATCAACCTACAATTCCTAAAAAACATATGGGGACCACTTCAGGACCACAATTCCTATCGGAGGATGGATTACCGTACGGTATGCCAAGTGGAGCAAGCCCCGCGCTGCACCCTAGCACCCCCTTCGGTAATCCTCCAGTGCTTCAGACCACGGTTGAAGCGGAGCTTCTGGCTCAAATGACCTCCCTTCGGAGGGAGATGGCTAAACTCCAAGAACATAACAATCTCCTCTCGTCCAAAGTAGACGACACCCAACGGTTGCTTAACCAGCAAGAAACACAGAGCATTCAGGCTACCGAGTCTTCCCAGAGTCAGCAGACCCCCGGTCGGCAGAAGAAGGGAAAGCGGGGGGCAAAGGCAACGCCTGCGCCTTCCAAACAGTTGGTGGTCCCGGCTCCACAGGACCAACCTCACGTGCCGAAGAAGGTGTACACCGATTGTCGTCATCGGATCAACGACAAGAAGGATGCCGAATGGCATAGGTCCCCAATCAGGGTTAATGCCCGCCTGCGGGACTCCTGGATGAAGGTCCTGGGAGATAAATTGCCCCTTAGGAAGGTCCAGGGTTTGGATTCGGGGCTGGAATCTGACGATGAGTACGTCCCCACCAAGGGCACCGAATTGAACTACCGTTCGGAAACTCCCCCGGGGTATTCGAAGGCAAGACCACCAAGCCCGAGGAGAACTTCCAAAGACTTCAGTTCGGAGGATGTCCCAAGCCGAGACCCCGCTATCCGCCTGCTTTTCCAGAGAATCCAGAAGATGGAGGATGACCGAACCCGGTCCCAGGTCCCTGACTGGGGAAAACTTCGGCCAAGACCATTTATCGAGCGCATCAAGAAGTCCAGACAGGACAGGGAGGTGCAGCCGTTGCGTATATCATTTTATACCGGCGTGGAGGACCCCTTGACGCACCTTCACTCCTTCCAATCGGCAGTTGGATGCAAGGGCCTCAGTGACGAGGGGCAATGTCTGCTGTTCCCATCATCCCTTACCGAAGCCGCTCTGAACTGGTTCTACCGTCTTGAGCCGGGGACAGTAGACTCCTTTGACGAACTGAAGCAGATTTTCCTCAATCACTTCATGATCTATACACGATTCGGCAGAGAGAGGACAAACCCCTACGGGAGTACGCAGCGCGCTTCAATCACGAATACTCGAGGTGTCCAGAAACGGACGATAGGGCAGCCTTCGGCGCCTTCAAGAGTGGCCTTCGGTCCTCTCACTTCCGGTACCTCGTACACAGTAGTAACTGGCGCACATACGATGAGTTGATGAAGCAGGCGGCAGTTCATGCGAAAGCCAAATATTTCAACTCCAAACCCGGGCCTTCGGCTCGGAAGGAGGAGTCAGCGACCAAGAGTTATCCGGGGTGAACTGATGATTCTTCGGCAGGACACAAACGGAAGGACAACCGTGATAGTCGTCAAGGAAACTCGAAGAAGGGGCGCGGGAAACACGGTCGTAATGACCACCGTGCGCCGTTACCGAATCACGATCATGCCCAGGAAGTCTTCACCCTGCTGAACACAACATACGAGATCGTTCTGATGAACGAACATGACCAAATCCCGAAGCCAACAAACCGAAAGCCCAATCGGCAGGATAATCGGGACACTGGCAAATTCTGCCGATACCACCAGCAGAACAGCCACAACACCGAAGACTGCATCAGTTTGAGGAAGATCGTTGAGCGTCTGATTCGGAAAAGAAAGCTGGATCATTACATCGCCAGGCCACCACAGGCACCGGCATCGAACGCGAAATGGCAGATCAACATGATCAGCACCATCAGCGGTGGCCCCACTCTGGCGGGACCCTCTAACTGTTCAATGAAACAGTATGTGCGTGCCGCCCACTACCCTCAGGTCTTCGGCATAGAAGACGATCGGTGCCGAAAGGTGCAGAATGTGGGATGAGAGCCCATCACATTCTGTGAAGAAGAAGAGGAAGGGATCATTTACCCCCACGATGACCCAATGATCATTCGGGCAGAGATCGCCGACTACGATGTAGGTCGGGTGCTGATCGACACCGGGAGTTCGGTGAACGTAATTTTTGCCGATGCGTTCAAGGGACTGGGGATTGCCGACAGCATGGTCAATCGGCAAATCACGCCTCTCCTTAGTTTTTCTGGGGATCTGGTCCAGCCAGTCGGCAGTATCAGTCTGCCCATCGCCTTCGGCGTCGCCGCCAGGAAAACATTGACCTACGACCAATTCCTCATTGTCGATTGCCCAACGGCATACAACATCATCGTAGGGCGAACGGCACTCACCAGGGTCAAAGCCCACTTATCCCCCCACATGTTGCTGATGAAGTTCCCAACACGCAACGGTACTGGCGCACGGACGGACGTGCTATGCCACAGCCCTTAAGTCGGTAGCTTGCAAACCGCCAATGGAAGCCATGACCGTGCAGGGACTACCGAACCGTAGCGGGCCCATTGATGAACCTAGGGAGGAAACGCCAACGCCGATGGCGCAGCCTGGCAAAGAGCTCGAAACCGTGGTCCTAAACGAGGATTACCCCGATCGGTGGGTGAAGATCGGCACCAACCTAGATCCCGACCTCCGAAGACAGTTCATCGACTTCTTACGGCAACAGGCGGAGGTCTTCGCTTGGTCTTATGACGATATGCCCGGCATATCACCTGACGTCATCAGCCACAAGCTCAGCATATCCACCGCCCACAAACCGGTCAGACAGAAGTGCCGCTCATACGATGCCGAACGGTACGAGGCGATGCATTCCGAAGTTGACAAGCTCAAAGTCATCGGCTTTATCAGGGAAGCTACGTACCCTGTCTGGCTTGCCAACTCAGTCATGGTTCGGAAGGCCAAAGGAGGATGGCGGATGTGTCAGGACTATACCGACCTTAATAAGGCTTGTCCGAAGGACAGTTTCCCCTTACCGAGAATCGACCAGCTCGTCGACGCTACCGCTGGACACGAGCTGCTCAGCTTCATGGATGGCTATTTAGGATACAACCAGATCTTTATGGACCCTGCGGATAGAGAACATACGGCATTCATCACCGATCGCGGTTTGTACTGTTACAACATCATGCCATTCGGCCTCAAAAACGCGGGAGCAACTTATCAACGGCTCGTCAACCGGATTTTTGCTAAGCACATCGGCGGCATCATGGAAGTATATGTCGACGACATGTTGGTGAAAAGCCGAACGACAGGGGGGCATCTGGAAAACCTAGCCCTCATGTTCGGTATACTAAAGAACTACCGGATGAGGCTGAACCCAACGAAGTGCGCCTTCGGTGTATCTTTCGGTAAATTTCTCAGATTCAAGATCAGCCAAAGGGGAATCGAGGCTAATCTCGAGAAAATCAAAGCCATAATCGACATGGAGACGCCGAAGACGCAGAAGGACATTCAAAGCCTTACTGGGCGTGTCGCTGCCCTGACACGCTTCATCTCCAAGGCTACCGATAAGTGCGTGCCGTTCTTCAAAGCTTTGAAAGGGGGCAAACATCATATTGCATGGACTCCCGAATGCGACCAGGCATTCCAAAACTTGAAGAACTACATGAGCCAGGCACCGCTATTATCAAAACCGCTCCCAGGAGAAGTCCTCCTCCTATACCTCTCGGTATCCAACACTATCGTCAGCTCAGTATTGATACGGAAGCCGGAGAAGGCAGAGCTACCGATTTTTTATGTCAGCAAGGCACTCCAGAGCGCAGAGCTTCGGTACCCACCCTTAGAGCAGCTAGCACTGGCCCTGGTTGTCTCGGTGCGAAGGCTTCGCCCATACTTCCAGGCGCACGAGATCACTGTGCTGACAAACCAGCCACTTCGACAGGTACTCCAAAAGCCAGAAACGTCGGGCCGATTGGTCAAATGGGCAATCGAGTTGGGAGAATTTGACATACAGTTCAAGCCAAGGCCTGCAGAAAAGGGTCAGGTCGTCGCCGATTTCATCTCCGAGCTCACACCTCCTGCACTATCGGAAACATCCTTTCCAAACGCTATCCTTACTACACCGGAGAAAGTGGATGCCGAACGCTTTGACAATTTCGTCCCTCTCTGGATTCTGCACGTGGATGGCTCGGCAAACCAGCAAGGCTGTGGTGCCGACTTAGTGTTAACCACTCCGGACGGTAGCAAAGTCGAATATGCCCTCCGATTCAACTTCCGGACCTCTAATAACGAGGCAGAGTATGAGGCTCTCTTGGCCTGCCTTCGGCTAGCTAAGAGCATGAGCACGAAGCAGATCAGCATTCATAGTGACTCCCAGCTCATTGTGAATCAAATAACGGCAGACTTTGCAGCCAAGGATGCCTCTATGTCAGCTTACCTATCGGCGGCCCACCAACTACTGCAGAAATTACAGGTCTACGAGATACGGCAGATCCCGAGGTCAGAAAACAGCCACGCCGATGCTCTTTCGCGATTGGCTTCGGCAATAAACGACAATATCGGAAGAAAGGTACCGGTGGAGATACTGTCCCAGCCAAGCACGACAACCGCTGAGGTGAGTACCGTACGGTACGAGGACACATGGATGTCTCCCATCTATGCTTTCCTGGCAAACGGAACCCTTCCGACCGATAAGTCCCAGGCTCGGAAGCTCCGTTACCGATCGGCAAGATACACGGTCATCAACGATGTTCTGTACAAGCGAGGCTACACCACACCATATCCAAAATGCCTAACCAAGGAGCAGGGGGACTACATCCTTCGGGAGGTCCACAGGGGAGTCTGCGGTGACCATTTGGGATCCCGATCGCTCGCACACAAAGTCTTCCGACAAGGATATTTCCATAAGGAAAGTGCCGAACTATTTTTCTGCGTCAACATTGAGGATCCATAAGGAAGTGAGTTTATGGTTTTAAGGGATATGTTGAACCCTTTATGGTCCTGCAAGGCCAAGAACATACAATTTTGAAGGTCAAGAAGTCTAAAATCTTCTGATAGATTTCTATGGCAGGCAGTTGGGGTGGGGCGTTGTAGAGAGGTGTTTGTTTGTTTGTTTGTTTTTTTTTCAAATTTTTTAATTTTAAAGATAAGAATTAAATTCAGCTTGCAAAAACTTAAGACATGTAGCCTAGGTGAATTGAAATTTTGTGGCCTAAAATAATCCCACAGCCCACGTGATCATCATATCTCATCCAGATACCATTAGTTAACAAACATACTTGATACCCCACATGTCTCACCAATTTAAAAAAATACAGAACACAAACTAACCCCGCACCACACGGGACCACCCCTAATAAAAACTAATATAATTTCATTCTCTCTTGCTGAGTTACCCAACCCCTGCTCTTCGAGACTTCGACCAAAGAGAAAATCAAAATTCCATGTCGCTGCTGCTGCATGCCAAAGACCACCCATGTTCTTGAAGACTTACTTAAAGCAAACTAAGGTAATCTTCAATCCTTCATTTTCTTTAATTTTCTTCTTTAAATCTGTTGACGTTGAAATTTTAGAGATTGTTTAGGGTTTATATGAAGTATAATTAGGGATTTACAATTGAGTTGACATTCTATACTACTTAATTGATAGATTGATCCGTTTTGTGCTGACTCTTCCTGTGTCTACTACAAAAAACAACAGAATGAGCATTTTCATGTATGAGACTTATTAAAAATCAAATTCGGAACAAGATAAGTGATGAGTTTCTTGCTAATTGTATGTTACTTCATATTGAAAGAGAATTTACTAATAATATAGATAGTGAATCAATAATTAATGATTTTAACTTTGTGAAGACTCGAATGGTGCAACTTATATAAGTATTATTTGTATTTGTATTTTGCATTGCATGTTTATTTCTTGTTGTTGTCTTTTTTTTCCTTGCTAGTTTCTATCTATATGTACTATGCATTTTGTACGTAAGGTAAATTTAGCCGATGATATTTTGAAATCCTGGTCTATCCCTACGAGAGCTAACATGGTAATACCGGATCATTCTATAATTTCTTCTCATAATATATTTTTATTAACTTAGAATTAAAGAGAATATGAATCGGGGTGAGCATGGGTCACTCCAAGTTGATACTTACATTAGTAATATTGTAAACCAGGGAGTAGTCATGATTGAGAATCATTTATGTTCGCTGCTTTATGTGAATAGAGTCAGAATATATAACCAAATGTATAGCATTTTTGGAGAAAGCCCTCACAAATTTCATTAGGTGAATCATCCACCTCCTTAAACCGATTCCAATAACCCATGTGTATTGGGTTAGAAAACTTGAGCACCAAGGACAAGCAAAACAATACAATATTGGAAAGTACTAGAAAATCTAAAATACTAAGGTACTTCTGCAAATCCTACTTTACTTTGAAACATAAAACCAAGGTAACATATTGAGAAAGTCAGCAAGCCTAGTCGACCGACAGTGAAGGACAGGCACTGGTAGACCAAGCTATGTCTCAGACTCTTTCAAGTTAATGTGAAGTAGCCATCATTTTACTGTTTAAAGCCTTTCGTCGCTTTTGAGACTCAGTTGGTGTTTTTACATCTGTTGCCAATCCAAGTAGTTGGAAAAATCTTATTACATACCAAGTCAAGTCAATTTGCCACCATTCGAAACCTTGTCGAGCTGAGTAATCAAAAGCATGATGATTGTTGTGCCATCCTTCTCCAAGTGCAAACAAACCCAACCACCTAAACGTACAATCGCAAAAAAATATTTAATATCCCTCATCATGAAGAAGAACGTTTAATAATATCCCAATTTCCATATTTATTCAAAATGTACCAATTGTTCCTTGACATATCACCAGTGTGATATACTTGTTTACCCCACAAGTGACCAGCTGAATTTACTAACAAAGTACTGTGGAAAACGCATACCATCCTTACCCCCTGCAATGTAAAAAGAAATTTATGTTAAATTTCAAAGAGACGGGTCGGCAATCCACTTTTAACGACACCGAGGCCTACACCTTGAATATTGGATTCATGTATGGTTCATGACTATTTAGTCTTTATGTCAATCAAATATTCCAATGGTTTGGTAAAAGCCACCAAGAAAACCTTAATATGGTTGGAACATTTATGGCCTTTTATTATTTTAAAAAATAAATAAATAAAGAAAGGAAGAAATCTCACCATCCCCCACACCAAGAAGGGAACTCCACCGGCGGCATATAGTAAACTTCCAAGTAGAACAATTGAATGCAGAAGATAAGTACGATGAAGAAACATATAGAAGGGTTGCCTTTTCAAATCTTCAACGTTCTTCAGTCCTCCATACTGTAAAAGTTTCCATTTAGAACTTGAACAAAATTATAGTGTAAGCAAATATATTTGTTCTAGAAAGAGAGAGAGTTGGATTTGGTATTTTTACTTTTCCAAACCGAGAGCCGCTATCGAGGATCCAACCCATGTGACTAAACCAAAATCCTCGACGAGGGCTATGAACATCCTTCTCAGTATCAGTAAACTGGTGATGATATCGGTGTGAGCTCACCCATTCTATTGGACTTCCCTGCAAAACCAAACAAGTAAAACACAAACCCGTACTTCTAATTTTTTGTTTTTGTTTTTTTATACAAGAGATAATGTACTTTAATCTAATCTAAAGTATAGGAAGGGAGATTCGAACTCGGGTACAAAGCAGGGATCACATCAGCTATAGCCAACATGTACTTCTCATGTATTTAGAATAATCAATCTACTGCTTATACATGTCAAATCAGATAAAAATAGCCAAAAAAATGAGAAAAAAAAATGTAGGAAAATTATGTTGCTCAACGTTAAAATTCACATACCTGAAGTGAGAGAACCCCGAAGTAAGCAAACAAGTACTCGAGCCATTTCGGAAGACGAAAACTCTTGTGAGCAAGATTTCTATGGAAAGACAAAGTCACTCCTAAACCCGTCACAAGATAGAGAGCACAGGCCACCCAAAACGCAGGCCACGTGAAATGAAACGGCGCTATCACACAAAGGCAATGCAGAATGAAAAACACAACTGCAGTGGCTATGTCTAGTGAATTCCATTTCCTTCCCCAAAATTCCAGGCAGGGCCTCATCACAATATTAACCAAAAGCCCCATCGATCCTCTTTCTAATATCTGCACTGCACAAGTTCTAAACTAGATGCAGAAGCTTTTTTATACCAACTATAAATAATGGACGTACGTGATATTAGAAAAAGTTGGTTGCTTGTTCCTTACAGTGAAGTAATATAATTAATACAGCTTCTTTTGTCAGGATAGGGTAGGTAACTGCTGAACCAAATTAATACCACAGTTTTGACCATTATTAGGAACTGTGTTGGTGGATTTGAAAAAGGATTTAACTAAACTATTTAAATGAATATGAGAAATTAGATGGATGAATTAGTGACACCATGTGTCGCGGTATTAGGATCATAATGAAAATTGTAACTTATCTTCTACTTTAAACCTCATACATTTCTCAATAATACTAGACACATAATATTTAGGACTAATGATGTTATGATACTTAGACCCAATAAGCAATTATTATATAATGTGTCACATTTCATTCACACAAAAAAAATTAGTACGTCGCGTTAATTAGTTTTTTTATTAAACAATTTTTGTCGATGAGATTTGAACTTAAGAGACCCTCCTCCAACAAAGTGAATACTAGTGTCACTAGACCAAGCACATTAGTTGGTAATAAAAAGTTAATATAATAGTTGGTGTTTCCTACTAATTTAATATACATTTTTAAGAAGTCCATAAATTTCTAGGAGTATTTAGTGATTATATATATAAAGAACACTACAAATGGGATAAATTTAATAACACTAAAAATGGTACCATTGCAATATTCTCAAAGAGATCTTTAAAAAGAGACTAGTTTTGAAAATATTTGAAAAAAAAATTATTAATTGATGTATTTTTCTATTGCATTGAACTATTGAACAACCATTATGGGTGTTCTTAACAACATAATGCATTAATTGCTGTATTTTTATATATATTTTTATTGGCATATTAGTTCTATGGTTAGCCTATTGCAATTGCAATAGAGGGTTCATCACATAGCACCCTCTATTGCAAGTGAAATTTTACTGTTTTAGTTCAATTTCATGCAATAAAATTCATTGATCCTAATCATTGCAGATGCTCTTATATGCTATTCCATCTTTTAAATTTTCTTCATTTCGAAATTTCATGTACTATCAAAGTTTCTCATCCAAACGCATTTTCAATAGCTGCCGTTGACTGGTTGTGTAGTCTCGGTGTGTCTTTGGCCTCTCTTTGGTCTTTGTTTATGAAAGTTCATCTTTACCAAAACAAGAAGTAAGAGATGAAAAATTGAAAAGAATATTTTCAACTAGATATTTTTCCAGGCAAGTAAAGCAGGAATTATCAACCAAAGAAAGTAAATGTCAATCATGCCATTTTGAAATTATTTAAAAATGTTATTTTACTGTCACCTACCTATATCAAACGAACTACTTGGAAAAAGAAATCTTATTAAATGCTAGACATAGTAAAAATCGAATGACCTGTTTTGGACAATGACCTAATAAGTACCACCACCACTACTACAAAAATTGAAATAGACGATGGGAAACCACCGTCATGTAAAAGGTTTTCCAACTGTCGTGAAATTGACTACCGTCTATTTGGGTTTCAAACTACGACGGCTTTTCACCGTCGTTGTTTATCTGTAAAGACAACGATTTTTAAAGAAAATCGTCGTTGTTTAGAGGTAAAGATCATTAATTATATGAGGAAAGATGACTGTTGTTAATAAAACCGTCGTTTATTGTATGTATAGATGACGGTTTTTTATGAAAACCGTCGTGGATTGTTTATAAAGACGACGGTTTTTTATTATAAAAAACTGTCATCTTTACATACAATAGACGACCC